AGGAAAATAGTTTTACTTTCCACAGCTATATTCTCAGTACCTAGAACAAAGCTTGGTCTAGAGTAAGTTCTCCTTATATTTTGATTATTGACTGTTTGATTTATGTCTTTAAGTTGAACTTTTAATAATTGATCTTTTGACCCTAGTAAGTAGGATGTACTAACACGAAACTGCTGACTGAGTTCAGAAGTAATTGCATTAAGTTCGCTGGAGCTGACACTTTTTCTGTCTTCTTTTCCCAGAGTGTAGGGCGAAAGGTTTACCATAAGACTTGTCAATATTGTGGTGTTTTGGTGTATTCATAGGATTCCTATTGATTGCAATTACTGCATCACCAACGACAGTCTACACTTTATTTGGAAAGTCAGTACATTCACACATTGAGAAAATTCCGGAGTGGAAGGATTTGCCATCTTTATTGCTGGGATTCTTCTTGAGGGACCTTTTACTAAAATTTCCTACAAAGTTGTCTGATGACTAAAAGGTGGTAGAGGAGAGGAGTGAGCCATGATAAAGCCATTTCCTGGGACATGAAGCCAGTTTGTGCCTTTTGATTATTTATTTTTTTAAGTGCTATTTTTTTTTTTCATCATTAACTAACAGACTTCCATAGTTTTTTTTCTTTTTTTATTGCACACAGGATGATGTTTTCTTATCTGTGTAAAACTTTGCTCATATTATTGTTTAGTCTTTCAAAGCTTGACATTCTTCCAGTAAATATTTACTGAGTGTCTATTCTGTACCAGGCACTGTAATATGTGCCGGGGATCTATTGTGACTAACATAAATATTTGTCTGAGAGGTCAGTGACTTTCTTAAAGCTTATTTGAGAAGATCAGATGCCAGTCAGAATATTCGGAGGTGGTAGAATGCTATGTACCTGTTGTCTCACACATTATCTCTTTATTACCTCTCTGTTTCTGCTTGCACAGAGGAGCCCTGGTGGTGCAGGGATCAAACTGCTCAGCCGCAAATCAAAAGGTGGGCAGTTCAAGCTTACCAGGCACTTGATGGGAGGAAGATGCAGCTGTTTGCTTGTGAAAAGATTGACAGTTACACTGAGTAGTGTTACAGGCTCCTTGAATGTCAGTCTGATGCCCATCACTGCCAGGCTCTGAGGATTCAGAGAACAGCAAATAAAATGTTGGCTTCAGCATGCCTTAGTAGTAAGGATAGGCTGGCAGATGAATAATTGTAATGCAGAATTATAAAGGGCAATAATAGTCTATGTGCAGTTTACCGTGGGTACTCAGGGATGAGGCCTCTATGCAGGTATCACACTAAATCAGTAGCAGAAATATGACTTAGTTATTACCTTGGCATTAGGAGGGTGATGACATGCCTATGATTGTTTTTGGAGGAAAGAAAATGATTTACAAACTCCAAAAACCTACTACTGTTAAGTTGGAACTGATTCATAGCCGACCCTCCAGTGGGTTTGCAGAGGCAGTAAATTGCATGGGAGGGGGTTGTCCATCCTTCTCCCGTGGAGCAGGTGGTAGATTTGAACTTTGTGCCTTTGAAATTGCAGTGCAACTTCTGGGCAGACAGAAATAGCATAGTCTTTAGGAATTCCATATGCCCTTGGGTAGTGTAAGCGGTTTACTTTCAGCATTTAACTTAAAGTTTGTTAGCTTTAACTGAAACAAGGTCATGCTTGGGAAGAAAGACTTGGTGATCTACTTTTGTAAGGATTAGGCCAGTGGCAACTGATGGAGCACAGTTCTCCTTTATAGGACATGGGTTCACCCTGACTAAGAATGACAGAACAGCTGTAGTTTTGATTTTGTGACTTTGGTTTAGGAATTCTGACTGGATTGGTAAGGTCTGAGGGTCCGGTTAATGTAGTGAGTAAACAATACTGGTGCTGGAAAGGCAAGTGGCTGCATCTGGCTAGGCTTTGTGTACCAACTGCAGAGCATTGGGAGGTTGAAAGCAGAGTGCTAGGATCTGTTGATAATTAGATAAATACTGAAAAGGGTTATGTAGGGGAGTCATTTTCAGGGAACTAAATGGAGTTAAAGAGATGGGTGATGAATAAGGATTACAGAGGAAGAATTGATAACTTAGAACTGTGGTGTTGGAGGAGAGTCCTGACTATTCCAGAGACAGCCAAAAGAACAAACATGTATCTTGGAGAAGCTGCAGCCAGAGTGCTCTTCGGAGACAAAGGTGATAAAATTTTGTCTCACAGACTTTGGACATGATGCTAGGAGAAGCTGTTCCTTGGAGAGAGGCATCATACTTGGGGAGGTGGAGCGTTGGCGAAAGAGACCTCAACCAAGTGGATTGATACAAGCATCTGCAGCAACGGGCTCAAGTGCTTCGGATGGTGAAGATGGCACAGGATAGGACAGGATTGACATTTTTTTGTTCCTAGGGTCTCTATGAGTTGTATTCTACTTGATGGCCCCTAACACCAAAAAGAGGAGTTAAGTGAATACCTATATTTTCTTGGTTTAATCAGAGAATTGACATAGCTATCAGGATTGGTGGAAGATCTATTAACAATCTGCATTATGCAGATGACACAACTCTGCTTGCTGAAACTGAGGAGGACCTCATGCACTTGCTGCGAAGGGTCAGGGACTGCAGCCTTCAGTATGGACTGAGGCTCAATGTCAAGAAGACAAAGATTCTCAACACTGGACCAATTGGCAGCGTCAGGATGGATGGCGAAGAATTGAGATTGTTCACAGCTTCAGTTTGCTCGGCTCCACAGTTAACACTCTTGGCCCTAGCAGTCAGGAAATAAAAAAGTGTATCGCGATGGGAAAGTCTGCTGTTAGGGACCTCTCTAAAGTACTCAGGAACAACGGTGTCTCTCTGGAGACTAAGGTGCGCCTGATACAGGCCATGGTATTTGCAATCGCTTGTTACACATCAGAGAGTTGGACAATGACTAGGGAGGACAGAAGGAGAGTGGATGCTTTTGAGCTGTGGTGCTGGAGAAGAGTACTGAATGTACCATGGACTGCCAGGAAAACAAACAGATTCATCTTGGAGAGGATTAAACCAAGCTACTCCTTGGAGGCAAGGATTCTGGGGCTTCGTCTGACATATTTTGGACATGTTGCCCGGAGGGACGGGTCCTTGGAGAGGGACATCATGCTTGGGAGGGTGGAGAGACAGCGCAGGAGGGGAAGACCCTCTATGAGATGGATTGATTCGGTGACTGGGGTAATCGGGATGGGTGTGTCAGAGGCAGTGCGGTTGGCGCAGGATAGAGCAGGGTTTAGGACTGTTGTGCATGGGGTCGCTATGAGTCGAAAACGACTCGACAGCACATAACAACAACAATGCTTTATAAAAGGATGCTGGGTGAGAAAACAGAATTGAGAAGAGATCTAGAATCAGTGAGACAAGGTAGGAGGGATCAGAATATCCCACTGGAATACAGCTGTAGGAGATTTGATGACACAATCCCAGAGTGTTAGGGTGCTAACCAGAAGTCTCCATGTGTCTGGTGGTTCGAATCCAGCAGCTGCTCTGAGGTTGTCTCCCTTTATGATTTCAAGCCCCCGGACACCACTGGTGGGTCTCTATGAGTCAGAACCAACTCGACGACAGTGATAGATTAGGAAGGAGGTCCCCTTGCCTTTTATTGTTGTGTCTTATAAAAGTTTTTGCCCCATTACAAATCTGTGACACACTCATGTCATGCCTATGTCAGTTGAAGCTAACTCCCCAAATAGAGGGAGCTGAAATCTGCTTCTTCAACGTCTATGGCTTTCAACCTTAGCTTGTGTTATCCTTGATATGCTGTGAATATGCGACAGTTTTAAGTTTTATTTTCATTCCATTGTGATATTCAATTTAAAAGGGTTTTGTTGGTAATTAATGGTGTATATTAAACATATTTACCAATTTATACATTATCCTTAATTACAATGATGGGTTTGGATTATTTGTTAAATTGCTAATGAGTGTGTAACAAAATTTCATCACATTGATTGGGAAGAATAAAAAGCTCACCTTAAGGCAAATCATTAACTTTTTCAAGGAAGACCAGTTATAGTGGAGCATTTTCATGAAAATATATTAACATATACTGAAAAAAGTTAACATATACTTTAAAAGAGGGTACTAATTTTATATTTAGAAATTGTTGTTGTTGTTATGTGCCGTCAAATCACTTGCGACTCATAGTGACCCTATGTACAACAGCCCTAAGCTCTGCTCTCTCCTGTGCCAGTTGCACTGTCTCCGACACACCCATCCCGATTACCCCAATCACTGAATCAATCCACCTCCTAGAAGGCCTTCCTCTCTTGCGCTGTCTCTCCACCCTCCCAAGCATGATGTCCTTCTCCAAGGACCTATCCCTCCTTACAACATGTCCAAAGTATGTCAAACGAAGCCTCAGATACCTTGCCTTCAAGGAGCAGCCTGGTTTAACCCTCTCTAGGATGAACCTGTTTGTCTTCTTAGCAGTACATAGTACATTCAATACTCTTCTCCAGCACCACAGCCCAAAGGCATCAATTCTCATTCTGTCCTCCCTAGTCATTGTCCAACTCTCTGATGCTTAACAAGTGATTGCAAAGACCATGGCCTGTATCAGGTGCGCCTTAGTCTCCAGAGACACTATTGCTCTTCAGTACTTTGGAGAGATCCCAAAACCCTGTATTAGACATATTTGATTAATTTTTTTTATTTAAAGTTATTTAGTTGCTTTCACTTCAGTTCTGTGGATTTATTGAATATTCCTAAATATTGAAAATGTAAAGAAAAGATTACTCTTTTTACATTTTGAATAATACAGATGTAGTTTTATCTTTTTACAGGTTTAATTTTATATGTACTTTTAAGTATGTTGCCCATATTTTAACAGTTAATGTACTATAGTATAATTATTTTATTCTATTCACTGCTTCCCTCTCTAGCCTTCCCAAGGCCTATTAATGTCTCAGCATCATCTGAATAAGCAGTGAATATTTTTGAGTGATTAAATATGATACTTACTTTTCTTTTCTGCATTTTTTTAATCTTTTTAATAGAAAATGCATCCGATGCAGACTTATGGCTTCTGAACAGTTGTACTGTAAAAAACCCAGCTGAAGACCACTTTAGGAACTCAATTAAGTAAGTAGAACTTGTTTGATATTTTTCCTCTGTGTTTGTAAGTGAAATCGGAATTAGTATCAGGAAATTAACTTTTCAAAGATGCTAATGTCAACAAAAGCCTTCAGTATGTGGCAGCGGGAGAATATCTGTCTATCTATATATGACTGGTGTATTTTAAATTTATTATACTTTTGTGACGTTATAAGGTAAAGAATTGAACTTTAATGTAAAATTTTTTCAGTAGGTGGTTTGATTAGATCTGTGTCCATTTAAACTTTAATAGATGTTGCCTTCATGAACACAGTTGCTGTGACTATTCTTAACATGTTTTCATGGTACATATATGCAGTTACAATGCTAAGGATTATATACCTGGGATCAAGTTAGAGGTCATTGGTCTATGTCACTTCAAACTTTAATAGGTGATGCCAAACTCTTTCTTAAGTTCATGTTCTAGTGCTCACTTTCACCAGGAAAAGATACACCTTTTTGTTGTTTCCTGCTCTGACCAATACTCAGTATGCTCAGGTAATGGAATTTTTGCCAATTTGGTGTTGAAGTGGTATTTCTGTGTAGTTTTAATTTGCATTTTGAAAGTATTAATGAGGTAGAGCATTGTTTTGTTTGTTTATTGGACTACTTTTTTTGCAGCATGAGTGTTTAGGGTTTTTGTAATTTTTGTTTTCCTCTTTGGTTATCTGTTTCTTGTTTGTGGGAGTAGATGTAGTTCATATAGTGTTGATGTTACGTGCTGCTTTCCTGTTTGCATTATCTGACTTGTCACTGTAATGACTCGTAGTGACCGTAGTGGACGGAGCCATCTCATAGAGTTTTCTGACCTGCAAATCTTTATGGAACTGGGTTGCCATGTCTTTTCTTCCATGGAGCAGATGGTGGGTTTGAACCACCAACCTTTTAGTTAGTAGCTGAATGCTTAACCATGGTGCCACCAGGGATTCTATTTTATATACTTAAAAATTTGACAAATAACAAGAAGATCAAGCCTACTGGCACTGAGTATATTCCCACTGATGGTGACGCTCTTTTGAGCTTCCTACACTGTAAGCCTTAACAGGAACAGACTGCCTTGCCTTGCCTCTGTGGCATGACTGGTGGATTTAAGCTGACAACCTTTTGTGTGACAACCCTACATGCAACTTGTAGTAATCAATAATGTACGCCTTATATATTAAACATGTCACAAATATTTTCTCCCAATTGTGGGCTTGCTTTTTTATTTTCTTTAACTGTTGTTGCTACATTCAGATCTGGGGTGGAAACGTAAATTCTCTGCGACAGGGTCAAATTGGAATGGACTGCCCTGCTGTGAATTCACTTCCCTCTCAGTTTCCTGTGATCTTGCTGAATTGTTTTGGTCAGCTTGATCCCTTGTACATTGATTTTAAAGAGGACATGCTTAAAAGCTGGGCATTCTTTACTAGACAAGCTAAACTACTGTTTGCTTTTAAGAAGACTTCAGGGGATATTTTTGGTTTACGGTTTAAAGATTATCTCAGGGCAGTAGTTATGTGGGTTCATTCAAAGCCTTAATGACTTCAGAAACCCTATGTTCCCCCTAAATTTGTAAGTCTGTTCTGCATTTCCCCTTTTTGGTCAGGATTCTTCTCTAGAATCTTTATTTAAAATAGTCAGTAATGGGAGCTGGGTACCTTCCAGTTCTGGTCTCCCGGTAAGAGGCATGGAGGCAATTAGTTACACATTCTATTTTCTCTTCCTGTTCCATACTCTCCTCCTTTTTCCTTTGTTGCTCCAGGTAAATAGAGACCAATTATGCCTTGGATGCTGCTTGCAAGCCTTTAAAAGCCTAGGGACTGTGCCACAAACTAGGAGAAAGAACAAACATGTCAATAAGGCCAGTTAACTGGGATGTCCCGTGAAAACCATGACTGAAAATCTACAAACCAAGGACCCTAACCACAAGGTGTTCTGTTGTACATAATAGCCTCAGTAATTCCTTTTCTTTATCTTATATGTTGTTGTTGCAAAAATAACAGTCACCAAACTAGGCGCAAATTCAGCTTTTTACAGGTATGCAATTTATTGACAGCATTTACCTTAATTGGCTGTGCAGACCCTACCCTTAATCAATGATTTTTTCCATTGATTTTCCAAGGATCTTCCTGGTAACCACTAAGGAACTTTGGTCTCATTTGCCTTTTCTTGTCTTTTTTGTATAAATGAGTTCATAACAGTAGTTTTACTTCTGTGATTGACTTATTTCACTCAGCACAGTGTCTACAAACTCCATCCATATTGTAGAATATATCGAAACAGTATTTTGTATCTATGTGCCTTAGTGGTGTGCAGTCTTTAGGACCTCAGAGGCTAAGCTAAAGGCTGGTGGCTTGAATGAACAACTGTGGTGTGTAAGAAAATTATGGCAGTACGTTTCCATTAAGAGTTACAGCCTTGGAGACCTTATCAGGTGGTTCTGCTCTGTCCTACAGAGCCACTGTGATTGGAGTCAAATGGACAACAGTGTCTTTGGTGTTTGGGTCTGTTATACTATTTCAATGATACTATTTTTTGAAATTATCTGAATGTGTTTACTCCCTTGATTTCAGAGGATTAATCTCAGCAGCAATGTGAAGGTTGGTTGGGAGGATGGAAGACTATAGATCAGACCTGGGGAAACTCAATTGTCGCCAGAGGAATTTTGGGTTGTATTGGTAGCACAGACTGGATGGCATGTGCCTTAGTAAAAATCTGGACTGTTGCTGCTAGTATGAATGTAAATGGTGCTATGTTAACTTGGAAATTTTTTTTCTCTGCAAGATATAATTTGTAAGTGTGTGGGCATTTGTTTACTGAGTGGATCTTTCACTAAGATACATGAAAGCGGAAGTCATGTCTCCTATTCCTTTTGATATCAAGTATTTAGCATGGCCTCTGTTGAGAAAAAAGGATTTCTGTTGAATAAACAGATGGATAAGGATGAAAAAAAAGAATATAGATCAGGAGTCTAGTTAGGACAGAGTGTCTGAAGTCCAGGCATTGTTGACTTTAAATTAAGTAGAGGCATTCAAAGTTGGGAGAAAAAGGTTAATTTGAGACAGAAGAAGTCACTAACTTTATTCACTTCGGGGTCCGTGGTTGGAAAGAAATAGAAAATTTCAGAAGTGGGGATGTGTTCAGTCTGTGAGAAAGAAGTGTTTTGGTTTTGAATTTACTGTGTCTAATGTCACAGCTAAATAATTCAATAAGGTAACAAATATACTTGACATTTATTGAGTGTTTTCATGTGCAGGCACTCTTCTAAATACTTTACATGAATTGGATATTTTCCAGTGTAATTCTTATAGCCCATCAGCAGATTGTAGATTTCCGTTTTTATTCCTATTTTACAAATGAGGCATTGTGGCAGAGAGGGGTTAAAACTGTTTTCTAAGACACAGATGATGGTGGTGGGATTCTGACCCAATCTGCCTGACTGAAGTCTATAGATTTAAATCATTTTCTTATCATGCTTCCCAGATAATGATGTCAGGCTGTAGAAATTGAGCTGGCTGTCAAAGAGTTGCATGCATGCAATTGTTGTTGTTAAGTGCCGTCGAGTCGCAGGCAACTCATAGCAACCCTATGAAGGAGAGTCCTCGACGCTTGGGTGCCTTTCATCCTCTCTCCAGGTTCATAGGGTCTCTGGAGGCAAGCTATTACGGAAGTGGATGCCACTCCTCCTTCCAAATGCATGCAATAGAGATGTTATATTGTTTGAGTAGAGATGAGAGTAGAAAGTGATGACATGTTTTACTGATAAATTGTAGGAACAGAGGAGTTCTAACCTGAACTATGTCTGCAGCAAAGGAAAGATAGTGCTGGTTGTGGTGTTGATACGAAATGGGGCAGGGTGGAACTGGTGTCGTCTTTAAGATTATGAAAAAGAGGAACTATATTGCTATCAGAGAATGCTTTTTTGTTTTATTAGAAGTCTGTCATGCACCCAGATTATTTTATTTTAAATTTTTATTTTCTTATGGCAAAGGGAAGAAAGATATAAAAATATTTTAGGGCTACTGATACTCACTAGGGAGCTCTGTCTGGTGGCCTAGTGGAAGGAGAGTTGCCAAATACAGGCAGCTTGAATCCAGCAGCTGCTCTATAGGAGAAAGATGGGCAGTTCCTACGGTTTAATTTACAGCCTCTGAATACTCATACCTGGTAAAGGGTCATCTGTGAATTGGTTCTGATTTGAAGATAATGGAAATTGGAATGGTTACCAAGGAAGGAGCCTTGGTGGTATATGTAGTGTATTACGTGTTGGGCTTCTAGCCAAAGGTTTTCAGTTCAAATCTACTACAAGTCCCATAGGAGAAAAATGGGCAGCCTCCTCTTACATAGATTTATAGCCTCAGAAACTTAATGGAGGGTGGCCATGAATCAGAATAAATTTGAGGCCACTGAGTTTTTAATACCTGAGAACAGAACTCAGGGACTGTTGTTGCTGTGATTATCAATTTTATAATTTAATACATTTATATACTGTTAAATACTTTTAAAAGTTTATTTAAAACCAGAAATAGAAATTGTGTGATATATATATATTGCGTGTATGTCTGTTCTGAGTATACTTTAATATAATACTATGTATTAGAATGATGGACATAATAAAACATAAGGAACGTTTGTGAGTTTATTGCTACGAAACTTACAGCGAGCATACGTTCTTTTACTATAATAGTCTGCTTGAATGAAAGAAAATGTAAAAATAATATTATAGGAAATGATTTCTGACTTTGAGGGCTTTTGATAACCCACCTATTTCTGGTTAGAGTAACACTCAGTAACATTTGTTTTGTTTCCAGGAGAAACATAATCCTTTGAAAGCAATATATTAGTTAACATTGAGGAAACATTAGATTCAAATGATGCTTACGTGTATGAAGACTTTCAGTGGTAGATTACCTTCTTCTGCCATGCATTTTGTATTTTTCTTTATTTAGGTGTTTTCATTCTAATCTTTACCACTTCTACCTTTACTCTTTCACACATACTTTGTT